GCTCTCCTGTGCCCTAGCTGCTGGAGGAGAACGACCAGCTGATCCAGTGCATCGCCGAGTACCAGAGCAAGGGCCGGGCCACCGACTGCGTGCAGTAAGTCCCTCCGCGGGCGCTGCGCGGCCTCGCGCTGCCGCCTCCGGGCCCCCCCGGGAGCCTCCAAGTGCCCAGGTGCCAACGGCCGTTCCTGCTCTCCAGTGCTTTCCTGCCGTTAAAAAGAAAATGCGGTTGTACTGTGAAGAGGCTTTTGAAAAGTTCCTGTCACAGCTCTGTAAATCAACAGCGCCGCTGTGTAGAACAGCCCCGATTCCGGCTCCTTTTGTTCGGCGCTAATGCGACAGCCGGCTCTGTCGGGCAGGCTTTGCTTCCCCCGGTGTGCGGTTTGCAGAGGGAGGTAATCAGCTCGCGGCTCTGCAGCACTTCAGCCCTTACACCTGCGGCCTGACACCTGGGTGGGCGCTGGCTCCGTGTCCAGACCAGCCCGACAGCGGAGCTTTGTCATCTCCTGCCCCTGAGCTGCCGTCCTGCGGTTCCGCAGCTCCTCAGTACTGATCGTGTGAAGATGTTACCGTGCGTGTTTATTTCAAAGTTGGTACGCGGAAGGCACCTGGTTAGAGTGCAGTTCGGTGCAGTTGACCGGGCTTTAGAACAACAACAGTGTATGGAGCTGTTCGCCCTGAGGTTTTTAATTATTTTTAGTTTGCTGTTTTTTTCCCTAACAGCAAATATTGATCAGATTACAAAAGTGACTATTAAAGTGTGAGCAGTTTCCTAGAAAAGAACACGTTTCCCAGGCAATGTTTCTTCCTCTCACAGGTACCAGCATATCCTGCATAGAAACCTGATTTATTTAGCTACAATTGCCGATGCGACACCCCCCAGCACGCAGAAGACTGTAGACTGACTGTGCGTACCTGGACACGAGCAGTGACGCTTTAAGAATCCTTAGAAATACTTAGCTTAGTCCCACTTTGAGAGCTGAGAAGGTGTGGTCTTGAAAGGCAAGTAAAGACTCATCCATACTTTTATGTTGTAAACATGAATGTAGTTTTTGATGTACTATTAGACTAGCTTTTCCCCCATTTCTGTAAGCAGCAGTTACGCGTGATAATTATTTATTACACTTCCCTTCTCCTGAAAAACTCTGTGTAGTATACTTCTGAAAACAGCCTGGTTGTCAGGACAGCACTACCAGAGGTGCCTTTGGAGGACTCTTGCAGTCTCACTGAAGCAGAGACTGTTCCGTGACTAAGGTTGTATGACGACAGGGTAAGCATTAGCCAGGTGACATCTCTCTACCTCCAGCATGACGCAGTCAGATGTTGCCATGTATATAAGCAGTAGGCTGTTTTCTATCTTGTGTCATATGAATGGTGCTTAATAAACTAAAGATGTTCTTTATAAATTATAGTATATTCTGGATTAATGTAACACCTTAACAAAGGAACAGCTCAATGGTTTATTGAAGCAGAAATGTTAACTTTTCTAGTAAAGTTAAAAGATGGGACTGTTGCATAACTTGGAGCAAATAAGTGCAAGGGAAAAATGGAGCCTGTACTTCAGTGAGAGAAGGCTGTGTGTTGCCCTAGTTATGTCAAGGCATTTCCTTTTTGCTTGAAATGCTCTGTACTGCAGACTCTGTAAACAAGTAAATTCTTGCATAATCAAAATGGATTCCTGTGCTTCCTGGGTGTCTGTCAGCATTTGTGTTCAGCTGTATGCTTGCATACTCTTCTCCAGAAAGAGCACGGTGTACTGGCACAACTCAGTGCATTTCAGTGGCATGATTAACATAAGCTAAACTAATAACCTTGGTAATAGTTCTGTCAGGAGGAGGGGGGGTGGAATTTACTTTTTGCTCACTACTATCAAAATTATTTACTCTGCAGTTGCTAAAAATTAAGTGACTTGGTTTTGGCAGTGTTATCTATCCACGCTGCTCGTTCAAAGACACTGCTAAGGCACTTTGTCTCACGTTCTTCAGTGCAGTCTACTTGAAAAAGTAGCCTTAAAGATGCTTCAGATTGTACAGTGCATAAAGTTCATTTTTATATGATGAGTCAGTAAGTAGGCAGTTGACAATTTCCAAACTGTTAAATAATCCCATGTTAATGAAATAAGATCTTTGTTTACAAACCAAAGTTACAGTTTAAGGTGCTGCTCACTTTCAGCAAGGTGCATATTTTAAACAGGTATGACCTATTAAATGTATATCTTTAATAAAGCAAATAGTTTACTTTTACAGAAGCTTTAAAATACAAAATGTACAGTTCCAGTTCAGAAGCATTTGCTATTCACAAGAAGCACTGCAATAAGGGTAAGTTAACTAAGCACCAAACCCTTGCACTTGGCAGTGTAAGTGAAGTTTAATGGCAAGACTCGTTTGCCAAGTGCAACAATTCTTAAAATTACCAGTGTTCAGAACAATCGGAAGCAAAGGACATAGTAGCACCTACGTGGTCAAAATGCAGACAAACTTTCTTTGTTTTCGCAATTCACTTAGGTCCAGAAACTTGCCAGCATTTGTAAGTATGAATAAACTGCAAAAACTACAGCAATGATTTTGGCACTTGTTAGAAAAAGTTCAAAATTAAGTGTTTTCATTAACTTCCATTTTGGTCTTAGTATGAATAACTAGTAAGTACAACCAAATTCAGGATTTAATATTAGATCTAAATGACAAGATTCAGGAAACTCAAAACCATTCATCAAGTTAAATAACCACTAATGTTTTCAGCAGAGGGTTTTCAAAATTGTAGTAGTACAGACCATTAACAATTTACAGACAGAAGCCACACTGATTGTGCAAAGCACGTTACTGTAAAAAGTCTATGTACAGCAAACAAATCTTTGTAAACATGGTCAGTATGAAGTTTCAGAAAACATGGTGACAATATCATAAATACAGGCAACATTGGCATCCTCAAACAGCACAAAAGGTAACAATCTGGGCCTGCAAATATAGCCCGTCACCATACGAACAAAAAAGGTGGGTGGGTTTTAAATACCCACGTGTTTAATAGTTTTAGTGTTGTGTGTATTTTTTTCATTTATATATATATATATAATGTATTTATTTTTTGGTATCTTTAGATATAGATGTACTTAGTTTGTAAAAACAAAAACAACAAATGTGCTTTATCTTCATTGAAAAATTATGTAGTTAGAACTAAATAACCCATTTTACTAGTAGTTAACATATTAGAATGATATGACTTAAGAAAAATACAAAAATAAGATTAATACTGTCAAAACTCTTATACCAGAAAATATTGTGGTTTTTAGACTCTTTCAAAGATGAAATATGAAAATTTAAATAAGCTCTAACTATATAAAGAATCTTCTGTAATCTCAGTTAATATACAGTGGGATAGCTATACATATATTTACCATTGTTCTTCAATTTTTAAGCACCAGTCACTCTCCCGGATCCACTTTGGTTGGAAGATTATTCCTAATTCCACAGGTTCACTTAATGGCACATATTGACTGCAAATAATTACTTTATCCTTTTAAAAAAAATAATGTTCTTTTAACTAACTGCTACCCCACATTTCAGTTTAGTATCTTCTGAGCCAGCTCACGATTTTTAATCAACTGTAGCATCTGAAATAAGACTTTAAATATACGCAAGTAGTCTTTTAGGCTGTACTGTCACACACTGAAGGAACACTGTGTGGATAACGCCTTTGGCCAAACCAAGCAATGAGAAACGGTGTCTTTATTTGAAAACCAGTGTCATATTATCCACACAGATGCCATCTGCTTTAAGCAGCTCAGATAACATTTGTGACACAAGGTTTTGAGTGGTTCTGCTGATCTTCAGAGTCAGGAAACTACCACAAAACTCAGTTTCCCAACTGTTTCTGCAACAGTTTCATAATGAACTCACCTGTGTGGCATAGAAAAAGCTGCTGTTGCACTTCATTTAAAAAAAGTTACCCACAGGCCATTTATGGAGAATACAAAGGCTTTACAGCTTGTTCATTATAAATTTAAACACAGTGTTGAGCAAAGTGACCACTATATATTTGCTTCAGCAAATATTCAATGTGTTTCAGTTAAGATGTTTAACTATAAATCTATATGAAAAATAGCTATAAAATACAGTGTTTCTTGTATGGTAGTCCTTCAGCAGTTTTTTTTTTTAAAAAAAAAGGTTTTGAAAGTAAAGGCAATATACACACTTCTAAAAGCATTTCTACATCACAGTTTTGGGCTGTTTCAGGTACATCAAACAAACATATTGGCCATGTTTGCTCAGCACTGTAAATCAGAATTCAAGAGTCTGTATATCTCACCCAAACCCCCTCAATTCCATGTTCCATGAGATAAACAGGATATAGCCAATACACAATTGTGAAACAAAGTGTATGTATTTTACATTTGGCCCTGCACACTGCATCTTCCAACATGAAAAGCAGTTAGTACTGATGCAGGTAAGATGGTCTGCGCTCATGCTTTACTGGAAAAGATTTAAAGCCCTTATTCATCTGCTTGTGCTGGGAAGCCTGTTGCTGTGATTGCTGCTGCTGCTGCGCGTAGGCAAAGTTAGCTGCTGGAGCACAGTCGTTGGCTGCTGCCCACACGGGTGACTGGAGGATCTGCATCGTGTCACTCCACTGGCTGACGGGGCTGCTCATGGGATACAAAGGGGAACTCTGACCGGGTAGCGTGTTGGTGACAGAGGACGTATGCTGCCAGGGTGCCTTTGGAGGCCAGGTTTTGGTTTTATTATCCTGAGAAAACAAGATTAGTTGGTTTTGTCGTTTTGGTATTTTTGGGGTTAATTCCAAAATGCGTCATCTTATCCCCTCCTTAAGACATTTTCAGAAGATTAATTTACACTTGAAAGCAGAATTGATACAGATATATAGCACACTCAATTCTTAAAATACCTGCCTGTTGAAAAAACCTTTTTATTCACTTCAGCACATTTGCTTGACACACAGCAGGCCTGCTCTAAGTCAGAATTCTTAGCAAGACAGGTAATAATAAATCTGGCGATACTTTCGTTTTCTCCACACAGACCATTAAAATTGACTGTGTTGCCTCTCAGCTTAACTTTAAATCTTTGTGTTTGTGACAATTCCTGCTACGAGGCAAAAAGATAAGTGATTTCCAATTTCAGTATTTAAACTTGGTAACTTTGATAAAAACATCTAGAACTACTAAGGGTGCAAATGGTTTGGGTTTTAGCTGAGGTAAGCAATCTGGAGGTACATATGCTATTCTAGTTGTCTTCCTAGTGTAAACCACCCCAAAATGCAAACAGTAAGAATGACTAAGCAAAGCTATTTTCAGCTTACCTGATTACGGTCATCTGCTGCAGAAAGTAGAGGTGGTGACGGTAGTGTACTCGGTTCTTGCTCACCACTGCTGTGTTTTCTGCCCAAAAAGAGTGTGACATTTTATTTTTTTTCAAAAATGAGTCACCCACATTAATCTGCTACTGGCACATACCATTCTGTCATATTTGACAGCCTAGAATGTGTACTGACATTTCATCCTGTTTTTTGTATCAGTACAGGTAAAAGCAGCAATGCAGAAAGAAATTCATTACTGAACACTGTCAGAGGCTTGACAGGGCAGTGGTTCTTTGAGCTACAGCTTCAGCAACATGCACACATTTTTGTGGAGGTGAAAAGAAAATGGGCTAGTCTTTTGCCTACTTGGAAGAAATCTGTCAGAAATTGCCTTTTTTCTTCTGTTATCTGCTTTTTTTTTTTAAGTATCTTTTCTGAAATAACTTTACAGATAAGACAAACAGTTGAGCAAGTGAAACATCTGCTGAAGCACAGTGACCTAACTGAGGAAAAATGTTGTACCTTAGGTATTAGGTCACAGAGTTAAACCAAATATCAAAGAGAAGTCCTTCACCACATGGGCATTCTGGAAGTTGGTTTCTTTCTTGCCTTTTTTTTTTTTTGTGTGGGGGGCAGGGGGGCAGATGGTGTGGTGGGATGAGGTGGGTGGGTTTAGATTAAAGCAGAAGTCTTTTATCCTTTCATCCTTTGTTTGAAAAAAAAAAAAAAAAAGAAATCAATCACCATGCTCCAAGTATCTGACCTCCACAGAACACTCAACCCTTTTGTCTTCTCTTACTTCAGTTTAGCGTTTATTGAAGGTCGATGCCTATCTTTTCTATATAAAGTCTTGGTAAGCGTAAATATTCAGAAAACGGCTCTTTTGGTCAATTCCTTTCAACTTGTTTGCCTTAGTCTCGTTATTTTCAACTCCAGTATACTTCCTTTCTGGCAATGCATATAAAAATAGCTATCCAGGTATAATATGCAGGAAAATGGTAGTATATCCACTGACTTTTTCCTGTCACCAAAAAAGCAGACAGACAATCTTGTATCTAAATATATTGAGTCCAAATTATTCTGTGATCTAAACAATAGAGTACCTGGCCACAGAACTAGCTTATTTACTTTTAGAAAAGGCTCTGAAAAATAGTTTGAGAGAATGACCTCGAATTGGAATTGGGTTGGAATTCATGTTTCATCTTGTGCCTTTTATTATTGTCTTAACTACCCTCTACTGGGGAATCACTGAGGTTCTAAGGATATCCAGCTTCTGGCCCTTTAAAAAAGCAGAAAGCAATTGTTGTAATTCATACTACTACTTTCAAGTGGATTGTTCATAGTTAAAAATCCTGCATTCGTTTTTGAGTTACTGAGCTTATTTATGCATGCAATTAAGCCTCCTTTTTGTATTATCAGAAATAAAAGACTAAATAGGAATGTATTTATGATGACTAAAATGGCGGTGGTAGGCAAGGCCAGACAAAAGTCTACACAATATTATCAGCAGTATTTCTGGAATGCCACAAAGTTGCAGTAGAAGACAGGAAATAGGAACTTGGCTGGCATCAAAACGCACAACATTAGGGACATGACAAAGGTGCAGTCAAGTAGGCAGTTCAAAGATGTAGACCAATTCCAAGATGATCTCCAAGGCCTCAGTAGTTTAGAAAGAAGTGGCATCCAAAATAAATTATGTTAAAAGAGGGAAAGCATCAGATCTTTTCTAGACCTACTGAATTTCAGCTAACAACTGGCTATTTGCAGAGATGCTAGTTTGTATGAGGAGACAGCTACTAATATAACTCAATTTGGGGATCCCTAGCATTAAAGTCTCATGCACTATAAACTGATCCGTATCATCACTGTAGTATGCAAACTGACACTTGTACAAGCGTCTAATTAGCAGGAATTTCCTTTGTGTGGCTCCCGAAATTATCAAAGAAGAATCTTACTAACTGAGATGTATTTCTGTTCGTTCTGCTCACCTTCTCTGCTTTACAGCAGCAACAAGGTCTGGCCCTGAGAACATGGAGAACAAACTGTCTCCATTAGCCGAGGAGGTCTCATCACTTGAGCTGGCAGAGTCTCCTTGAGTACCAGACCAGCTATTTGTCACATCACTGTAAGATAAAAAAGTTGTATTAGTCCTTGTATTTACAGTGCCTGGTCCAGACCGTATGCCCCAGTTAGTTATGCGGAATCTCTGTCACAGGTAATACCTCAGAGCACAAAGAAGTTTTAATACTTTGTAAATTGTAACAGGAATACACACACTTTCACTTACTTACTTTGGAGCGATCACATCAACTGCTTTGTCTGTCACAGTCACTTTACATTTATTTTACTAAAATAATTACATAAATTAAAAGTGCCTCTCCTGGTTAGGAAGGAGAAACAAATGATTCTTGGTTTTGGAATCACTAAGCACTTGACTTTTTCATTGCAAAACTGAGCTAGAACACATACTTGTCCTAGTGGTTTTAAGCTGGCCTGAGAATCACAGCTATTACTTTATGGACAAGCGGACGGAGGATTTTTAAGTACTTCTGTTGTAATAGACAGTTATGATTTGGGAGAGATTAAGAGCTACTAACATACTGTGACATGCCTTACAGGAGCCAGATTAAGTGGCTAAAATGTGGAAAGCTGAATTCAGTCAGGCACCACAACTCTCACAGCATCACTCTCCATCAAAACTAGGTCTTTTCAAAATACTGGAAGAAAAGCATTCTGAATGAATCTGTGCTATAAATTCCTTATTTCCTCTGTTCACGTCAAGGTTCGTGTACATTCTACTCTAAAGACAGACATCAAACAAATGTCAGTGCTTCAGTATCAGGAAAGCAGGAAGGGCTCAGATTTCTCACTCTTGACATAATGAAGTGCAGCTTTCACAGATGCAGCAGCAATTGGAAAAAAAAACCAGTATTGCCACATCCTGCCAAGTCTGAGAGTAAAGTACACTCATATACAATAAAAATACGTAGCCTGTCCAAGCTCTTACCCTTCTGTGAAATACTCGGGAAAGGGCCAGGTTTTATGAGGATCATCAGGAAGAGGCCAGTTGCTCCGTGTGTTGCTTGGACGACGGACGTGCTGTCCTTGCCTTTTTTGTTGCATAGCCTGGTTGACCCCAGCAACATAGCGGGCAAATTCTGGATCAGAGCCGACTGAAGAAAAGAAACCAAGAAGTCAGTTGCTGACATTCAGCTATTTCTGCCACAATTATCCCCCTCCTTTAATCCTGTAGGCTTGACCATACCCCACAACAGAAAATAATTCCCTCACTGATAATAAATGCCAGACAACAGCTGATACCTCGTCACGGAACAATGAAGAACACCGAATGGGAAACGTTTTTAAAAAAGTAGATACGCACCATCCGTACAGGATAGATAATTTTCACATGGAAGTACACCTGCCCTTTGCATTCCATCAGGGAAATAGTATTTGTCACTATGATCGCATCTGTACACTGAAAGGTCCAATATCCCATCAGCAGACACTGACGGAATTAAAGCCTGTACGTTTATCCAAGCTCAGAGAAAAAGAACGTATTAATTATTACAGTTGATTCCAGATTGCAACATGATTTCCAGCTATGTTGTGATCCTGCTTACTTCAGGAAATCAGAATCTCAGATGGATTGTGTTAGAACATACAGCCCAGAAATTACCTACTTCCTACAAAAACTAGACAACAATCAAGAACATTCTGATCCTGACCTGCAAAACATTTCAGAATAAGGTTTATATTTACAGAAAAAGCAGTAATTCTTTAAAAAAATTTAAATTCTTCCATTCTTAAAGTGCTTTATGTGTCCCAAGCATCTGATAAGTAACCTAATGAGTGATAAGCATGATCCTGAGCAGACACAGAAAAAACCTTAATCCAAAAGTGTTTTAAAAGCTCAATTGATCAGAGCAAATAATTCATGTATTAAAAATAATGCTCTTATGAGTCAGTGTAATTGAATTTATATGGCTTCTGTTGCTTTTGGCCTTTTGTGTGGTTTTTTTTTTTTTTAGGGAAAATTCTGCAGTCTGACTGGATTTATGGAAAAATGTCTAGACTACATGCATAGTAATTGCAGCAGGAAGTGCAGAGCTACTGGCTTGCTGGTCAGTTTTAAATTAAGAGTGAAGACTGAAGAACATCCAGCAAGCATGCACAGCTTGGAAAGCACAAGTCAGTCTTTCATGTGACGGCTTCCCTACATTCAATTCAGAATTTAGAAGAAAATTTTCCTCATTTTCATTTGGCACATTCAGAAAAGAGCTCCACAATGTTTTGTTGGATGCAAATTAAAACAACAATGAAGAAAATAACTTTTGTTTCTATACATTCTTTATTACATAATCAAGGGACAGCTATCTGACAGCTGTACAGAAACAAACCATTCCCACATCTTTGTGTCAATTTAAGATGAGACTGGAAGCTAGATCCTCAGATTTAAGGATAGATCCTAGCTAGATTCTGAAGGGCGTGCAGGTTTTCCTGTGGATAGCGCAAAGTGTTCAATTACTGTAATATTCAAAGTAGCACCTTGTGTTGATTTTTACCTTAATAAAAACGTATCAGGTAAACAGCTTTTTATCAGATATGTTTTTTAAGTAATTCTTTCACATCTGTGAAAATAATTCAAAAGACCTGGAGGTATCAACATTCCTTCTACTAGTTCTTACTATGACATTCCTTCATCAAGTTCTTAGAGATGATAAAAGTACAGCAAAATACATTTTTGGTACCTAGGTAAGCTTTTGACATGAAAAGCCATCAATTTTACAGATCTGTAATTAGCAGATTTGCATCTGAAAAGAGACACAATTTTCAGGCTCTAAAAACATTTATCAAAAAAGTAATGCCATTTGTTTCAAATGACAAATGTACAAAGTCCTGAGGAAGTCTGGAAATAAGTGTTTCATGTTTTAAAGCTTTCTGTACTACACTAAATAGAGCTTAAACTTAAAATTCCTACATCACAGCTCAACCTGGCAAGTTATTCAAAGAAAAGTTATCTTTCCAATGGAAAAATTATTTGATTGAAAGGGTTTTTTTTGTTTGGTTTTGGTTTTTAAAACCCCAGACCTGTGGAAAATGCTGTTTACCTGTCACTTCAACAGTAGAAACATGTATCTTAACCCATAGAACACTACTGATGAGCTTGAATCAAGTCACCTTTTCAGAGTATCACTTTCAAAGTCCTTGATATTCATCATATCACAAACGGAACAAACCAAGTAGCTTTATGTAGACTGAAAGGAAAATACTACAGAAATATAATGGATTCAAAATGCTAAAAATGCCAGTCCTTTGTGTACTTACTTTTTTTTCCCCTACACATGCAGGTACTTGGTGCTTGGTGAAAATTATTCTGTTCTTCCTTAAAGGTTGTGGTAATCCTTAAGTATGTACCATAAGTACGTTTAAATAAGATGATGCCAATTCAGACTTAAAATTGTTAAGAAGCTTTTGTTAACATAACTATGATGCCTATTTTTGCTTATAAATTCCATTAATTTATCAATGAAGTTGACAAAATAACTACCAAAATTATGAGTCAATTGAGTTGCTTTCTGAGACACCTACACAGTCCTAATACATGTGTGTGCAAATGAGCGCAGGAAAAGGATTCATGGCTTGATAAAAGGTTTTCCTGTTCTGTTGCTGCCTCCCTCCAGGCAGTTTTCATAAATGCATACTACAAAGTCTCTGTAGCTAAGTTCCAGGCCAACAGAAATTATATTTATGGGAGAATAGATTTCGAAGTTGTTCTTAGTACTGCTATCAGAAGAATTCATTAATCTCCTCAGCCTCTGCAGTCAATTTCATAGTCTTTAGCTATTTGCTTATGGCTATAAAATTTTATCTCGCTTCATCTTTGACAATAATCCCTCTACATTTACAATTTATTGGTGGTTCAAACACATCTGGCAAACCACATGGCACTTGCTCTTTAGCCTCTAATCCTTCAGCATCCAAGCTTTTCACTGCAGTAACAGCTGTAGAACAGGAACCAGTATAACTCCTATGGATCTGCACAGTAAAGGAGGGGAAACGCAGGGATGTGGGAAAGATGCAATCCATCTGTACCTCCAGACTGACAGATTGGTAAAGAGCAGGAAGGATCATTTTGGGGAGAGGTAAAATACGTAAGTTCAGGAGTTGACAATGGTTTTAAACAATTTTACAAATTAACAATAGGAGGAATATAATCCGTAAGTATCTGTTCTGGTGCTTTGATGTAGTCCACACAGAAAAAGTCAGAACTACAACTGGGACAAGAAACAAGGAATTTGTTTGCATTCTTATTTATTAATGCAAGTTGGTTGTACTTTAGTTCACTTTCTGTTAAAAAAAGAAAAGAGGCATACATAAAAATATCTACTTGCCTTTGTAAGCACCCTAGCATCTGGTGGATAGTGCTAGGAAGTGACAGTTACTGCTAGCAGTATTTAACAGCATTCTTTCTAAAAGGACGCTTATGAAAAACAATAGTAAAGGAAAAGACACACACCTGCAGGGTCAAAAGGCAGGATTTCTCCCAACATCCCAAACACTCCATCAGTTTGGTCACGGTTTGGCCATGTGTTGTTTCTAGGTCCTTGTGGTTTCTGTCCTAACATCTCAGACATCATATTGTCCATATAGCTGCTCACAAGACCCAAGCTGAACAAATCGGAGCTTAGATCTGAAAAACCAGGATTGTTCCACTGGTTTAAATGAGCCAATCCAGCTCCAACAGCTTGGGCTGGCTGCTGTGAAGAATTAGTCAGCCATTTGGCAGGTACACGTTGCTGTGGTCCAATAGGTTGAAGCAGGTGTTGGTAATACTGCATTTGCTGCTGCTGCTGCTTTTGTGACTGTTGTTGCTGTGACAAACCTTGCTGAGAAGGATGCAGTGGTGTGTGAGAGACAGAATGCGGTTGCTGTTGTACTGTTCCTGATTTTTGTTCTGTTGCTGTAGAGGATGCAACAGAGTTCCTTCTTTTCACCATTGGAGAAGTCTGCTGGGATTTGCCCATGTTAAAACCAGACAAGAAATCTATAACATCCTGCATTTCTTGGTCAGTTGGTAAATTCATACCTTTGTCATCATTGCCGTCATCTGGTTTGAAGAAGTTGTCCCGTCTTTCAATTAGAAACCCATTCACCAGCTGATTATTTGTGCTCTGAATTGACTGCAGTGAATCTGCAGTCCTAGGAAAATTACCAATGTTCAAAATACTTTGTAACCGGGCATCTATGTTAGTGGGCATTTTAGCTTTCTCCTCCGAGATGGAACTTATGAAGACATTTTTGGAAGGTGTACTGGGGATTGAATAACTTCCAGTATTACTTGTACTGGTGCAGGAAGTTTTTTTCGTAAACCGTGAAGTCAGTTTTGAGAACGTCTTTTGTAGACCACCTGAAGATTTGCTTCCATTTCCAGATGGCATGTCAACTTGATTCCCAAAGTCTGAGATTTCACGCTGTAACTGGATCTGAATACAAGGCAAAGCTTGCTCCCTGAATCAACAAAAACATGTATATCAAACCACCCAATACATGACTGAGTTTGTATATTGATTGAGTACTTTGGAGGAAAAAAAAAAGTGTATTTGGGTAATAGCTACTGGAAGAAACAAAATCAAAGATTACCAAGTTCATCAGCTACTTCTTAGGGCAACAGTGCAATTATTACTAGTATTTGCAGTAGCATTAACTACTCTCCATTTCTTAGGAAGTTTTAATTGTGCTTCAAGACCTAAATGGAGACTAATTTAATATAAATCAAGTATTTTTGTGAGAGAAACAAATAGTTTTGTACACTTGGACAAGCTGCTGGTTTGGCTTTAGAAAGACTGCTGTATCTCGGTATGTACCCACAGGGTACCTACGTAGGCTACCAATTTCTTGCTCTCAGTTTGACTACTGCTTTCCCCTTCTGAGGAATCAGTACTATCAAATTCCTCAGTACAGATCTTTCAACAATGATGGCGTTGTTTAAGCTAGGAAAGTGGAGCATGAGGCTCAAGAGATGTACCTTCCTTCCTTCCACCTGTGTATGTCAAACACAGCAGTATAGAGCACATCTACTAGTCCCAAAGTCTTCTCTGGATCCAGACTCCTCTGTAGCAAAGACATTGTTGCTGGATCTTCTTTCAGACACCTGTAATCATTAAGTTTAATTTAAAAATCAAAATTTTAATTTTGCTCTATTAAAAAATGTTACCATACTAGTCAGATAACAAAAGGCCAGTTGATGCACTACTTCTGCTCCTACAGAGGTGCAACTAGTAAAGGCAGAATCATGTACAAATGCCTGAGGATTCCTAAAGACTACGCCTGCAGCCCCAGTTTCTTTCTACTCTTGAACATACAACTAATCTAACTGTAAAATTAAAGAGTTATAGAATTTATTTTAAAATCATTATTAATTATTAGCTCTTTAGATGAGCAGGCATAATTCAGGCATAGAGGTAAGAAATAACAAACACACAAAGCCCATTTCTGGAAAACGGCAAGAGCACTCAAACCTGAAACAAAACACTAGCGCGTGGGTGCACTCTGGAGTTCAGCGCTAAGAACCCCACCGTGACAGACCCCATGTGGAAAATGATTCAGCATATCCAACAGTGGGGAAGGTTTTACTGAGCTGTGAAAATGCAGCATTAGTGAATTCTCCTCATTAATGGCACAGAATTAGGACTGAATTTGAGGTGAAATCGAAATAACTTAAACATTAGCACATTTGTCGAGAACCTAATGAGTCCCTCCAGCAGAGACGAGCAAAGAGACACTCTCACGGTGTGTCAGCAGGCGGAGCTCTTCCAGAGCACAGAAAGCCTGGCTAGAAGCACTCTGCATTATTTTAGTTCTTTCATAAAAGAGCAATTTACATAAAGAGAACAGAGAAGTGCCAGTTTATAGAGGAATTTAAGACGTATTTGGGTAAACAGACTATCAGTTGATTCGTACGTCTGGACATACCATTGGTACCATTAGTAACAGGCTGTCTCACTAAGGAATCAGATGAATGAACTGTTGTACTGAAATTCGTTAACACCAAGTACTCTGAAGGAGGAGAGAAAGGAAGTGTTCTAATTCCATATCATGGTTTCAGAACTAAACTGCAGACTAATCCATTCTCCACTAGGCAGTCAACTGCTATCAGGAACAGCGTCTCTTGGACCACAGAGTTCTACAACAGCGCTCAAACAACAGCTCAGTGAAGAAAGAGCTAAAGCTCTCATATTAATCTCATCTAATTCCTGGCCTTCCTGAGGTAACAGCTGTGAGGACCTGCCAGAGAGGAGCATAACAGAAATACTATTGGATTTTTTTTTTAAACCTTCTCTTTCATCATCAAGCTTTTACTTTTTCTTTAAAAGTATGTTTTAGTGCCCCAGCACCGCCTCTCTTCTATTGCCTCCAACAGAGGCAGCACTAGTACAAAGTCAGCTAAAGTCCAACTGTCAGCCTGTCAGGAATGGCGGTAATCACACGGTTCCAGATAAAGAAACTTAAGGAAGATATGCCATAGTTGCAGAGTATTCTCTCTTCCATTTATACTGCAATATTTTTCCCTATATATTTCAGTCACAGCTATTAGTATAATCTGCAATACAGTATTTCTATTTACCAAGTTGATGGAACTTGCACCACAATTCTGGATCCTTCTAAACTTATCTGAGGAGCATAGGCTTCTTTATTTTCAATCTGTGCTGTGTCCACAACCACCTATCAAATAAAATGAAAATAAAAGGGAAATTATTTTAAGAATTATTTCTAGTTATTTTATCACTGCTGTAGTTAAGATGCAATAGTCTCACCGCCCTGCCACACTACAGGTGCAAAAATTAACCAGATACAAGCAAATCAACGCACAAAATCATTGTAAGTTGATTTCTATTTTAATAGCCAAAAAAAAAGAAAGAATATAAAATGATTAGTTTGATACAGTAACCTATATTTCAAGGACTTAATTCTTCTCAATTACATACTGTAGTTATGCATCACTATGTAGTTACCAACTGCTTTACCTAACAGCTGGTAGTTATCAATGGCTTCATATAACAGTCCTCAACATTTGAGGGGTTTGGCACCATTACTGCTTTAATAGCTCCCAAACACCTATTTATAAAAATATCTAAAATAATTTGACTGCAGTGCATGGTATGATACAGACAAATAGTATTTAGTCTGGAACTCTTCACATAGCTCAATTTTTAACACACCCCCACACACACCTTTTAAAGTTATAAAAGCCTACACCAACATTTCTGTATTCTACCTAATGAAACTGTACTATTATTAGTTCTCTATTCTATAAAGAGTAGAAAACTGACTGTTCAATTTGTTGAATTCTGAGCCTTCTGTAAGACATCACGAGGATATATGAAGATGAAAGTCTTGAAAATTAACCTTCTGTCATGAACCTTTCTTTTTATGGAATTGAGAAGGAATGGACTCACTTCAGCTTCGTTTAAACTTTAATACCAGTGACAGTAAGTTCCATATTTGGTTTGTGGTTTCTGTTGTTGTCCAGTCTGCATGGGTTGGCCTTTTTGATCATTTCCATAATTTCCTATTTTGGTCATGCTGAACCAGCAGCTTTTTGGCAGCAGTCAGCAGTTCTTGCTTCAGTGACTAGCAGATTAGCTGGATCATTTATCCTTGAAATGGCAAAAGTCCTCCGGTATAAATAAGCCTCAAGGAATATCACTGGCTTTTTTGCAATCATCTACATTGGTTCTACTTCTAACTGTAGTCTACTAGTGGTTAGGAAGAAATGTGAAATATGAATAACACTGAGAGTCTCTTCTCTCTCTTGCTTTAACAAAACCAGCCAATGACACCTGAACACAATTATTTTCCACCTTTTAGATATTTTAGCATAAAGCCTTAGTGTTCCTCCAGTTGACTCCAAGCATTTGTTCGAGTTTATCCAAACTTGTAAAACATGTCTAAGCACAGTGACACAATGCCATGCTATTATCCACTCATGAAAATACCTCTCATTTAATAACAGGGCAACTCCATTACTTTTATTCTTGTATTTGTACCATTCTAATTTTATGTAATTTGGTAATCTGCAATTCAGCTATATTGTAATTACAATTGAGATAAGGAGAGATGAATTTAGGAGTGATTGTTCTCAACTCCTACTGAAAACACTGTCTGCTTCTCAGACCTGTAAGAACTAAAATTCTGATTTGTGCAGATCTGTATCAGCTTCTGGTAAGTTGTGCATGGTAGTGCTCATGGTCTGAGCTTTGTTGGGGGTGTTCCCCCTTGCCCCCATCTTTGTTTCTGACCCTTAAAATGAGTTTTACATTTCTCAATATTTGGTCAGAGTTACAACATCTGGGATTTAAACATTACTAGGACATTTAGCGCTTCTGCAAATGCTGTTTTTTTTTCTACAGAAAGATCTCCTAGCACAAGAAAGGATGGCAAAAGACTCAGTTAAACCTCTTCATGGCTTTGCATGAGGCCAATACAAAGTTCTATTTCTACTCATCTGAATTCAACTATTTTAGTACACATTACTTTTATTCAAACATGGAGATTTCTTCAGCTGACCCAAATCTGAAAATACAATTCTTAATATATATGCTAAGGTAAAAACTTGAAAACTGCAGTTGCAAAAATTATTTCTTATGTTAAAAAATTGAAGCCTAAAATAACGAAGCAAACTAAGTCCCATCTAATTGTGCTTTCCACTCTTAATGAGTTTCTTAAAAGGCACATGGCAAGACAGGCTAAAGATAGTGAGACTGTCAAGTAATGTTCTTTTTTAAATCTGGCGTTTAAATGACAAATTTAGACACAATTCTGAACTAACGCAGACAGCTTATTTTCTAAAAGCAGTAAACCAAAGACTACATAATATTGTCCCATGATTTATTCATCTGAGTTCTACATGAAATAAAACTTAAAATAACCACATTCTCCCTCCCTGCCTTGTGGGTGCTTAGAGGATAGCTTCCTGTGCATCAGACATCTATTGTTCTTGTTTTACAGGTGTTTCCTCTCTCATCTCCACCCAAAGAATGCTTTAAAGCAGCATATTACAATTTCTCATCATTGCATGAGGTTACATACAAGCATAATTGAATCTTGTAAAAAATTATGGTATGTAGTTTATAAAGAAAAACCTCAACACTCACACCCTTCCAAATTGCAACAAATCAAAATGAGAATGAACAAAGAAGAGAGAAGGCTTGCAGGTATTTTGTCATGTGTATAGCTCATTACTGTGTCTCTGAAGATAGAAACCTGGTACTTTCAGAACATGAGGTTCATGCAAACATCTTTGGAGACATTCATGATTCAACACAAGTAATATTCCTTATATCAGCAATATCGTTTGGGACAACGTGTAAGTTCTATGCTGACAACTCTCCAAATGTTATGATAAACTTAAAGAATACCAGCACTTTAATTACCAGCAGGTCTAACTAGTTATGTCTAGACTGGGGACACCAGGAGATTTCCAGACTCTTGAGTGCAAATGTGCCTCAGGCCACTCCTCAAATCTCACCAGGGCAGGACTTGGGCGTGC